ATAGCTACATACCTTGTTTATTTTTCAGATTTAAAATATTGTATAATAAGTTGCCAAAATGAAACTTTATAACATGACAGCAAAAAATAAAAAATTTCAAATGAAACTTTATAACATGACAGCAAAAAATAAAAATTTTTTTTTTAATGTTATTTTTTAAATATAATTCTAATATATTACCACTATTTTAATGAAATTTATCAAGTTTATGATAAATGTTATGTCATGTCATTTTATAATCAATGTTATGTCAAATAAGAACAGTTATGAACAATGTTATGATGCTTAAGAAAAAAAATCGCCGAAAAATTCTCAGATCTCGGATCTTAAAAATCGCCAAAATGTTGACAAGTTGTCAAATTTAGAACCATTTAATAAAAGAATTCACAACCCCAAAAGCAAAAAATTTTTTAAGAGCTTTTTATTAAAAAAATGAATTTTGAAATGCTTATGTTTCACTTCTTGCTTAGAAACTCGAGTATCCCATCATCAGAGATAGAAACAAATTATAACCCATGAACCCATTCAAAAGATAACCATATACGTCAATGAATAGACAAAAATATTCCTCCAAAATGCTAATTCACACTCAAAATGGCAGTCGTAAAAACAGACAGAAATTTCAGATGATTAAAATTAAGGACTTCTACTGATTTTGGCCAAAATTAAGGACTTTAAAAGACCAAAAACCGATTAAAAAAAATTTAAGGACTCTTAAGGACCGTACGAACCCTGGATTGACAAGTTAGTCAGAATTCTCAAAACAGCAGTTACAGGACTTCAGCAATGTAACTAAACAAGAGATTATGTCTGTCTACAGAATTAAAGAGAAAGTATTAGCACAAAAAACAAAGCAACGTAAACAACTTACATTGAACGAAATGCTTAATAAGGTAAACAAATAAATATTAAGCTTTTTTTTTTTTTTTTTTTTGTAAATTTTGATACTCTTTAGATTATGTATTCATTATTTCATAAATCACGATTTCATATTTTTCATTTTATAATTCCTACATACCATCTTACTAGATTTAAACTGATGATCTAATATCTGGAAAAATCCTAAATCCAGAATCACCAAAGTCCCGATTAGTCCGGATTTTGGACTTTGTACTGTATTATTCATTTTGTTACATGGATAAGCAAACCAAATTTTATAAGATAAACGACAGGTCACATTGATTAGCAATAATTTCTATCATTACTTGTGAGAAAAAACAATAAAATATGCCAATATCCCATTCATATAAAAGTATTAAAATGAAAGATTTTTTTAATGGCAAGCTCTTAGAATAGCAGTTTAGAAAATGATATTTAATTCGAAACAGTAGATTTAACACGTTCATCACTGCATCACCCATTTCTGGGTGATGGGTATGCTTCCTTGCGGGCCCTCGTCACCCAAATATAAGTGGCACTTTTCTTGTTCAAGTTAAATAGGATTTTCAGTTGGATTTCAAAAAGGAATTTAATGGAATAAGCGCTGGGATATAAATATAAGATATGCAACATAAAATATATTAAAAATATATCCATTTTGTTGTATTTTTATTAATTTATATTTAGTATAATATAATATATTACACTATATCACATGGTATTTGTTAAAACAAATATATTTTAAGCGATTTTGGACAATTGGAACACTAGATTGTAGTTTTTTTTTACATTTTCCCTCGCTTCTTAGCGTTCGATAGTGTGCCTCTTCTAGTAATATCGGGGTCACAACTTTCTTATAGGCTTGTCCTGATTTTTATGAATCTCTAAATGGTGAGACTGTAGAGACGTTAGGTATTTTTTAAACAAGAGACATGAAAAATAAGCTATGCCCTCGCAGGGAACTCGAACCTGGACCTCTCGAACATGTGCCGAGTGTGCTACCGTTACAACATGAAGGCATGCTAGAAGTAGGGAGAAAATATTTTATATACTTCTCTTATAAAAGGTGACTAGGAATTAGGGGACCCAATCGCCAAATCCTGGTGGTGAAGAATCATCATCATCCACCACCTTTTAGATTGGGTGCCACTGTAGAATCATTACATTACTTTGAAGGAGACATGAAAAATCAGAAATGCCCTCACCGGGACCCAAACCTGGACCTCTCAAATAATCACCAAGTGTGTTACCAATTACACCATGAAGGCATGCTGGAAGGGAGGAGAAATTACCCTTTAAGACACTTTTTCTGTTTTGTTTCTATTATTGTTGAGCAATTTCCATCAATTTAAACCTTTTGCTCTATGATGGTGTTACAAAAATTAAATTATGGATTCGTTTAACCATTTTACCTACAGCACTGAAAGTGCTTGATAAAATTTTCTTTGAGAATATAACTGGAAGTATATGCCTTGGATCAATATTTACAGAAATAATTTTAGCTTTTCAAATATCTCGTATACATTAATGATTGAGAATAGCATAGAACACTGCTGCAGAAAATCCATGAGTGGCATTCCATGAGCCTCTAATGAATAATGCCAACAGGTAGAGTAAAACGGACTTAAAAAGGAAAACTGAAAGAACAAAATTTAATGATATGTTTGGATATATACTACGAAATCAGCATCAAACTGTAGGGAATAAAAGGTGAAACTACAGGCCTCACATTTTGCATAAAAAGAATAAATGAAATAAATAGTAGCATAGTTATTTAAGCTCTTTGTCATCCGTTAACGCATCTAGCGGATTCAAGTGAAACTTCTGCAGGGCGGCCATAACACGCTTCAAGCATTCTTCTACATTTTAAAACTTTTAAACATTCAAAACGCTTTCTAAATGTTAACTTCTTTGAGTTTTTATTTTTGTTTGTTCTAACACCTCATACAGGGCAGCACTAATCAGGAATTCTATTTCTAATTGAATTTGCCCCAGGTTTTATGAATATTTGCTCCATTTTACATAAGACAATAAGAGATGGCTTCAACGTCTATTGAGCAGAAAAAGAGAAAAAAATGAAGTTGTGAATTAAAAAGACAAGATATACGTCTATAATAACTCAATGATTGATGCTGGAACACGGAAAAGAACTATAAAAAACCAATAATTGTAAAAGATTACAACAACAAAATGGGAGGAGTGGACCGCCTAGATCAGATATTATCAAATTATCCTGGTGTTAAGAAATAAGCAGAGATATTATTTTTCCATTATGCTTTACTTCCTTATAATTTTACTTAATATTCATTGACATTCATCCACTACGAAAGTTATGTATGGAAAGTTATGATGTACAGAGAAAACAACATTACACACTACGAAAAACAGAGGGCAGCTGGGGAGAAATTTTTGGGGACAGGAGAGGACAGCGAAAGGGTTAAAATCTTATGCAAAACCTTCAGAATATTTCATTAGCCATAAGACAGCAAAAATGTTGAAATTTATGTAAATAGAATATGTACATTTAGATTTTATACGTAGCATATTCGGAAATTAAGTACCGTTTCATTCTAGCGCCGTCGCAGCGCTGTGGTAGGTGTCCTACGCATGTGCACTAGTCTTTCTTGTTCACTGACTTTCAATTGTCGCCATTTTGGTTGCTCTATGTTGTGTTTTCAGTTTGCTGTGCACATTCAAAATGTTTAAGACAATTAGTTCTCCCGCTGACTGTGAGATTCGTGCCGTGATTAAATTTTTGAACATGAGGAATGTTAACCAGTCGAAATTTATCGTCAAATGACAGAAGTTTATGGTGAATACACGATAAGTGATGGAATGGTGAGAAAGTGGGTAAGAATGTTTAATGCAGGTCGAACAAATGTCCACGCCGAGGCTCGGAGTGGTCAGCCTTCTGTTGTCACCGATGATTTGGTAAGGAAAGTTGATGAAGCAATTCATGAGAACAGACGCTTCACAATGACAACTCTTTCACAGGCATTTCCACAAATTTCATGTACTGTTTTGTTCGAAATTGTGTCTGACCGCTTGAATTATCACAAACTGTGTTCTCGATGGGTTCCAAAAACACTCACTGATGTTCACAAAACAAAGCGACTTGGTAGTGCCCTGACATTTCTCACGCGGTACAGTAATGAGGGAGAAAACTTTTTAAACCAAATTGTGACAGGTGATGAAACTTGTGTGTGTCATTTCACACCAGAATCGAAACAAAAATCGATGGAGTGGAGACACACTCATTCTCCGAAAAAACAAAAGTTCAAAGTGACAATGTCATCACAAAAAATCATGTGCACTGTCTTCAGGGATAGGAAAGGCGTTTTGCTTACTGAATTTCTTCCCAGAGGTGAAACCATTAATGCGGCACAATACTGTGAGACTTTAACAAAATTAAGGCTTGACATTAAAAACAAACAAAGAGGAATGCTCAGTAAAGGAATTGTGTTGCTCCATGATAATGCTCGGCCCCATACTGCTGGTGTCACTCAATCCTTAATTCGACAGTTTCATTGGGAGCAGTTCGATCACCCGCCGTACAGCCCGGACTTGGCGCCGTCCGACTATCACTTGTTCCTGTACATGAAGCGCGAGCTTGGTGGCAAGCGCTTTGGATCTGACGATGACACGAAAAATGCTGTGGAGTCGTGGTTATCGAAACTGGCGGGAAGTTTCTTTGACGATGGTATACAAAAACTGGTCACCCGCTATGACAAGTGTTTGATCATTGGCGAAAACTATGTTGAAAAATAGTTTAAGACATGTATTTTCATGTAAAAATAAAATTGGATTAAAAAAATTGTTTTACTATTTTTTTTTTTTTTTTCAAAACGGTACTTAGTTTCTGAATACGCCTCGTATATCATGATTATCATCAAATTCAGTAACTAATATTGTCACTTTGCACTTTTGTCATCTTGCACATTATTTTGTACAAATTGTTTACAATTTCAAATCTTTGTACCAGATTAAAATAATAATAATAATGACAAAGCAAGAATCATCAAAGAAAGAAGTAAGTGAAGATCTGTACACCCATTATCATAATTAATACTCAAGCATACATATTCTGTTAATTTAATGTTCACATTTAAAATGAAACTTACACATCAGAGTTGATGTAGGGCACTGCTGGATAATGATGTACTACAGTAAGCACAGCTGTAGTCAAAATTGTTATGAAGAGCAATGTAACCATAGAAATAATGCCATATGTTAATTTTCTGAAAAGATAAAATATTACTTAAGCTTTTTTCACTTATTTATGCAACAGCATTTAATTCATGTTTAATTCATATATTAACATAGAAGTTACTAGATAAATTATCACATTATATCAGCTGCTATATAATATGTCTCAGATGATAACACTGTAATTGCAGATTATTGAAATACTTATATATTAATGACTCAGCTATTCTTAGCTTAGGGGTTTTTCATTCTATATTTAACTCACACCATACTGACCAGGCTGAACCTTCATTACAGTCTCAGTTGGGCATGGAAAGGAAGAATCAACTGATGTTGTTCTGCAGTTATTTATGACCATGCTTGTGTGAGTTTGGCCAGATGCTTTTAAGCTCATTCCATATAATGTACGAGACATTTGTCATCTACTCTTCGTGTCCTATCCTAATCCTTTACAGAGATATAATTTTGAATTTATGTGTGCCAGATCAGTACTTGAAAGTCATTATTAACAGTTTTTTTGGAAGCTCCATGTGACAACTGATGCTTTATGGCATGGTACTTTATCTTGCTAGTAACTAAGCCTTTCATCAAGAAAAATGACATATATATAAGTGTGTACATGATCAGTAGTTATGCTGATTAAATCTGAACATTTAAAAGCTGCTCTACAGTAATAAGAAATCAAGGATCTTTAAAGAAAATATGCCTTAGATCATTAGTTGCATTTCCAATAACTTTAAGCAAGAATTTACTATTTTACTCTGTAGATGCCATATTTTGGCTTGTTTATATGCTTGCTAAACTTAAACCAAATTAAGTTGAATCAAGTGTATGTGTTGTATCTATTTCCATCAAGTCCAGTTTTGGTCATCTGCTCATTGTTCCCAAATTTTATTGTTCACAGAATAAAATGAGTGAGTTTTGAATACATCAACTATGAACTAAAATTTATGCAATAACTTCCATAGCCAGCATTTTTTAGAATTATTTTGTTACACTGTTGTTTGATAAACTGATATACTTTTGTTCCCTACTTCCTCCTATAATCAGAAGTATATTTGAGATTTCTATGCAAAGAGCTGCTTTCAGTCATAGGCTACATTTTGTTTACAGAAAAATCACCTCACTGATCATTATTTGCTCTTCACATTACCTTAACATTATATGCATTTAGTCCTCAAAGCAGAATATCTTAGAAAGCGAATGTATGTACAAACTCATTTCACACATTACTTCACTGTAAAAAAAAACTGAGGGTGAAACTCTTCTTCCACAACTGGGAGAGAAAAAAACAGAAAGGCCAATCAATAACAGAAGTTAATGTAAGTTTTTTTTTTTTTTTTTTAATGTGTGTGTACTTATTTACATTTTCTGCATTTTTATATTAAAAAACATAAACTATTTGTTATATGCTATATATACACACAGTAAAATGTAGTTCAAAACCTCATCCAATTGTGCTCCAAAAGCAACAACAAGCAGTGGTAACAATGCAAACTAAATTAAAATAAATAATACAGTTAAAATTCATCTCATATTCAATTCAGAATAAATATATGCAAAAACATAAACCATATTTTGGCACATTCACAAACTGCAAGAAAAAGAGGAGCAAAACATGTTAAAACCAAAAATGAAATAAGAAATGTACATCCTTCACTGCATTGTCATCAGGGGGTTGGTACAACAAAAGAAGTAAATAAATCAGCTTGTTCCTGAACAAACAACAGAAATTAAAATTAAAAATATTAAAAAATTTCAGAAAAACAACTGAAGAATTAATTAATAATAAATGCTAATGGTTATTCCATTTGTTGAACTGAAGCAAACTGATTCTTCACTCTAACTTAAATTTATGGCAATTAGTACTGAATTTCGTTTTGAATTTGTAATCCAGGTAATTCGTGACTTTTCCTTTCTACTTTTATAAAATGATTCATTTTTGTTACAACCTATTTAAAATGAAGGTTTTTTCCTATTTATTTTTATTATTTATAAGTTTAAAATTCACAGTTTATCTAAATCCATTACTTAGCACCTTATATTCTTATCATTAATATTTTGCTACCAAGCAGAACAAATATATATTTTTTCATTTCAAAAATTTTGTGCTCTAATGTTACTTAATTTTAAGAATTAACTCTTCTGTTTTATTTTTTTATTTACTCATTCATTCATTTTTTTTTTTTTTTTTTTTTTTTTGTAATTTTTAATTTTTATTTTAAAATTTTTTCTTCAAATTTTTTGAATACTGCCAGACATTTACATTGTATGATTATGGCTAAAACGTATATCTTAGGTGCCATGGACTACTTAAGTAAATGATGAATGGCATTTACTAAAGTAGTCCATGGCACTTGCTTATGCCATTCCTGATCAAGAAGAGCATCATAAAAGTTCTAGCATGAAGCTGCATTTCATGATTTCGAGTGACTTTTCTCATTCACTTTAGGAAAAACAACTTCACATTTGCCATATTTAAAGGACTATATAGAACTCTCAGCATAGATTCAAACACTTCTTTATATCCAAAATTGCATGGTATTGTGAAGAGATTTAATTGTGCAATATTGGGTCATCTCTCTCTGTTCATATCCTGAAGCCAGAAGGGCTGGGACACAAACCTGCCATTTCTTGCAAGCATGTTAAGAGTGCCATTCATGAGAGGTATGGATTTTCTCCATTTCAAATGATTTTTGGCCATGATGTTTATGTGCAGCGTGACCTACTCTTTCAGAACAGCCTAACACACTTTCTTCTCTTGAGCAGTACCTGGAAGATCTGTAGGGTCATTTAGAAGATATTTATTGATTCACCAAGGAAAAGCTCAACACTATGACCAAATGGATGAAGGCAAGATATGATGCCAAGCTGGTAAAAATGAAATTCATGAAAAGAGATCAAGTCTAGTTATTTAACCCCAAGTGTTGTCAAGTAATTTCACACAAACTGCAGATGTCCAGGGCAGGATCCTTTCACATGATGAAGAAATTGATTGACATACTGCATATTGAAGATCTTCTTCTAAACCTAAAGTAAAACACTATAATAGACTTGCATCTTACTTTAGCAATGAAGGTTAGCTGTCTCTGGCCTTTGGGGACTACACTGCCCAAGATGTGCACCAAGAGGGAGTAATGTTTTAATTCACTGCAAATATTTAAATTCATTTTGATTGCATTATGGTTTATATGTATTGTAGTATTTTATATTGTTATACTTATTTATTTATTTTTCATTCTTAAGGTGATAGTTATATAGTTTATTCTGTATATAATTAAATTTGTGGCTGCATGTTATATGTTATTTTTTAATACATACAACTGCAGATCTTTCAATTCTGAATCCAACAACATTTAAATTGTAAATGTAGCTCAAGTAAAATGCAACACATGCTCCTGATGGACCATGGGAAAAATGCTTGCCACTAAGTTGATGATATAAAATAATCATCATAATGCCAACATAACAGATTACAATGCTGTTTGGTATTCAATCGCTATTACTAAAAAAAGTTTTAAACACCGCTGCATGAGTCATTTATCAAGCTGCCATGAGTTGATAGTCATGCAGTGATGAAAGCAAAAAAATAGTAAAAAAGATTGCCAGATTTGTGTCAGGGGACAAGTTCAGTAGTTGTAAAATCAGTGATGATCTTTGGTAGAATGTTTTTATTTGCCAAGCAAAATGACAGCTATGGAGATAAAAAATTATTGATTGCATCGATTTACACTAATACACTCTTTGTTCAAGATGGAGATGTTTTTTTATTTAGTGCTGAAATGAAATTAAGAATCAGAACTTTTCACACAGTTATAAAAGAAATGTCTACTGTGCATGTGTGAAGATACTATACTAAAGCTAGATAGAACTTTCAGAATCTAATTCATTTCTCTTTTCTCGAAAAAAATTTCCAAGAAAAATAAAATAGATTTCCTAGTAGTCTGGATATTATATTGTTATGAAATGTCCAGGTGTGATAAGATAGCTTCCCTGCAAAGTGGGTTTACGGTTACCAGAAAAGGTAAGGGAAGGAAGGTTTGCCACATTTGGCGAGAAATTGCCCATTTGCCGACATAATTGACGATATGCCATAGAGAGATGGAGGATCTTCTACAACAAATTCTTACCAGTTTGGACCAGAATGTTCTTGAAGGCAGCCCAAAAGCTATATAAACCCTGCCTGCATGCAGAGTGAGTCAACGCCTCATCTAGCAAGTTGAATCTCAGTCTAGTGTTGAGTTGGTCGTCAAGAGTATCGCGAATCTAGTGACTGCATCGTCGAGTCTAGCGAGTGTATCGTCGACTGCATAGCAAGTTGTAGCATGAGAGTCTCGAGATACATAGAGTTTTGCAGACGACTGAACCGAATCACAAGCTGTGCTCTGGTGCTTTGCCGTGAATCTGTTTCCACCGTTATTGCCCCATAGCCTGAAGACTGTGTTGCTGATTGTTTCAGCATGCTTGTTGTTCAATGACTGTAAATGTGTTTTTGGAACTTTCCTGAATAATACTAGCTAATAAACTGTTTTTTCATTCTTCAGCAAGTGTTTTCATTAATCACTCCAAATCCATGAACCCATACAAAAACACAACAGATTCTGGTTATTGGATGTCTGGATTTAGACTTTGTATTGTATGTAATAGCTAAAGAAAATAATACTTACTTATACAAAGGTATAAGAATTATTGGCACGATGATATAAATCTGCATATCTGTGGCCAAATACCATGTGTGACTTAAACACTGAAAATGAAAATAATATTTACTGCATTTTCAAAACAATTTAAAGCATTATTACTTAAAAATTAATCAGAAAAAACTTAATAGAAAATTTTAAAAAAATTATAATACTAAAATGTTAAATTCTGGAAATAAAAATTCAACTTAAAAAAATTTAATAGTAGAAGAAAAACTCTAAAATATAAAAAGAGTTTATAAATTGAAAACATGTTTTATTGTTATGAAATGTTCGTAAAAACGAAAATTATGTTTTAGATCTTACTTATTTAATTTAGTTGGTACACAGTTTTCTTTTAAACATAAAAATTTAAGAAAGATATTTGTTTTTAAAATTCTTCTTTTATGTATTAAATAAATTCCTTTTTTTCACTAAATTTAGTTATCACACCCAGAAGTCTGTGCTAAAGAACAAAAAATTAATTTAGATCTAATCTTTTTTAAATAACTGATAAAGTTTAGACTCTTCAATAGAATTTTAAAAGAATTTAATACAGTTTTAATAAAATACTTCTTCTCTTTATACCAAAATATGTATAAAATGTATCAAAATTTTGAAATTTCCCCCATTACTCAACAAATAATATATAGCTGCAGAAGAAAGAATAACTTACTTTATGGTGGGTGTATGTAGTTAAGTATGCAAATATATATATATGTAGTGGCAGTGTTGAATACCAGATGGCGTAGATTGCTCATTGTATAATTCTTTTAATGGTTTATTTTTTGTTTTGTCAGTTGGCAACTAGATGAGTAAAAACTCAAAATTCAAATTAAAAGAACAACAATAAAGACGTGTATAAAAATATATCGAAGACTATATTCAGTTTATACAAACTTATTTGTTAAAAATGTAAATACTTTAAATGTAATTAAAAGATGCTGTCAAGTAGTTTCTTAGATGTTTTTTTGTAGAAGGTATTACCACATATATAGTTAATAATCCTCAATTAATCATCAAATGCATAAAGATTTTAGCATTATTAATTATCGATAGTTCAGCAGAAAGCCAGGACACATATTTCTTAAGTGCACATCTGTATCACCACCACGGGAGTGGCTTCTAAAATGGACTAATGGGCTTCCAGTAACATTTGTGTCATTTTACATGGCCTTGGCCACATGTTAAGAAAGATGTCTGAAAATGTTTTGCCATGCAATTTCCTATACAAAATAACTAAAGCATCGTGGATTTCTTGTGAAAATTTTCAGTGCGAAGTTAAATCAAATATAAGCATTATTATATACGTCTTCTACTACAGGTCTTCACATTTTTATTGCAGTCTAGATGAAAAACCTATTCTATAATAATAGCCAATGCACAATTTTATTCAAATTGAATTTTCCTATTTCAGTTCATTCCCATTCCTACACAGTGCGTTAAATTTCACATTAATAAATGTTCACTCTTAAATGTATTGCCAAGAAATACTCTTCAAACAGAATGAATTTATCTTATTCACAATGATTATATTTAATTTACTCATATATAACATTTACTGTTAACAATAGGTATAATCAGATCATTCACAATATATACCTATTTTCAATCTTACACTTTCAAAATCAAAGGCATGCAAACCATGAGTCAAAGGCAAATCAAAAGGATGAGATAATAAAATACTGGATTCATTGTAATGCTTCCAGTTATTCTCAGCTGAATAAAATAAGAAATTACACACTTGAATCCATTACTTGATGAATTATGACTCTTAATACACAGGGGTTAATAAATGTATAATATTCCAGCCTAATTGTAGCTTGAGTCAATTTTCTTGATATAAAGAGCAATAACATGCCACAAACATTCAGATATCAGTGCTTGATAAGTTTCGTGAAAGTGAATTGTTGAAGATTAAACAAACATATAAAATGAAAGCACTACGAGATTTTATACTAAAATATCATATCAGCATTTATACGCCACATATTGACAACTGCGAAACAAAAACAAAATTAAAAGGTAAACAACAACATATGCTCATATGTACAGTTTCAACGATTCAGCATCACAAGAGCATTAGAAGCTCATTGATATGAACATTTTAAACCCTCAATCAGTGGCTATACTGATGTGCACTTGTGAATTATGCAGCCGGGATAAAGGTCACAACAACACAGGTAAACAACTAGAAGTAGCAGCAAATCAGTGACAAAAAATTAGATACAAATTTTAGAAAAGAAATTATGACTATTAACTTTACACTTTGAAGCACATCATCACCCACAGAAACAAAGTTTTTTATGTTTCTTTAATACACATTTTTTATTGCATGGTTTTTTATTAATTTAAAAAAAAAGCAGTTAAGAAAAGTTCAGAGTCATATGTAATTCAGTGAAATGCAGAGAATTAAGGGCATTAATTTATTTTTAAAAGTGGAATAGTTCCACAGTACTGTAAACATAGTGATCTAAAATTTATTGTTGAAAGTAAGATATCAATGTTTAGTTACGTTTATGATAATGAAATATATATACTAAATTTGGCCAGGAAATATTATGCTGTCAGCATCACTGGTTTTGTATTGTCCCTCATTAATCTGAATTGAAGTTCATACTGCAGTTTCCACTATAGGAAATCTCATTCAGACTAGATTCATTCAGATCACATTCAAGTCCAGACTAGATTAGCTTTTCTCTAATAAACCTTTCAGAGTCTATGAATAGAACTTGGAAAGTGGAGCAGTTGCTTAAAGTTTGTTTCACTTAATCTAACACATAAATGCCTATTGAAATGGTATTGACATATTAAAAAGAACAAATACACTATATTAATTTTCTTACTCCATTTTTCGTGTAAATTTGTTCTTGTCTACTTCTTGTTATAAAATGTATCAATGAATTTACGCTTCGAATTTTTTCTCTTATCTATCCATATTGAATTTCACTCTGAACTGTGCAGCAGCTTTCATGTATAATAGATAATAATAAATAAAATCATAAAATAATAATCATCAATAAAATAGCTACATTTATTGCTAGATAGATTAAGCAGCTATCTAATTTTACTGGGATGGCATCCACTACAAATTACACATATTCAGCAATATTTAACTGTTTGGCCACTAGTAGAACCACATAAATTAGAACTCAGGTTAATAGTCCCTAATTTACTATTTAAAATGTTATAATCTGAAGCACACCAAAAAAAAAAAAAAAAAAAAAAAGAGAGAGAGAGAGAGAGTTTAAATTTTGCAAGTGAGTTAGCTTTCAAACTACCAAGCTGTAGTGCAAATGAACCTTCAGTTACATATGTTGCTATTGTATTTACTGGCATTCTTGGAATCTCAGCTAAAGACAGGATAATTATCTCCCTGTGTTATTCACCGGGAAAGATTAAACAAGTGTTTAGATAAAGTGACATTAAGTTTATTTTATAAGATGAGGTGTCAAAACAATGCTGCAAATGTAAATGTTTGGTTGAGATGCTGACCTAAATAGCAGAGATATTTAATCTTAACATCATTCAGCCAGAAACCATTCTACTGTAACATAATTTATCTTTTCACCAATATCAATAACTACTTCACAGAGCTGCTCTGTGCTTAACCTTCCAGCACATGCGCTTGGCAATTTTACATGAGCACGCACGCGTCGTATTTTTTACAACACCCATTATTTTACCGTTTTTTGCACGAAAAATGACAGAAATGAGTGAATATTAATAATAAATTTGTTAAAGTAAAATATTAATCTTATTATTGCAAAATACAAATGATATCAAATTCAAATATAAGTAAATTATTTTTTTTAAGTTCTTATGTTAGTGAGATGGAAATGCAATGATGTATTTCATTATAGAACATTTTAAATTTATTATTTAATAATTATATTTTTAAATCGAAGCTAATTTTAATATTCATCAAAGGCAAGTATAAACAAATAAAAAAGGAAAACACCTTGGTAGGAAAAAAAGTAAGTTTAGCAGTACTTACTTCTGCAAGAAAATTTACTTCTTACTGGTTATAAAAATGCACTTTAAACTAACTTTAATATTTTTATAAGTAAATTTCCTTGCAGAAGTAAGTACTGCTAAACTTACTTTTTTTCCTACCAAGGTGTTTTCCTTTTTTATTTGTTTATACTTGCCTTTGATGAATATTAAAATTAGCTTCGATTTAAAAATATAATTATTAAATAATAAATTTAAAATGTTCTATAATGAAATACATCATTGCATTTCCTTGTCTTCCTGTTCTTCATCAGATAATTCTTGAAGGATGCGAGCAAAATCAGCTGGTTGCACATGTTTTTGCCATGAAAACTGATATAAAATTTACAGAGCCAAATGTATTCAAATTAAAATAATACATGGCAATTAATAGCACAAAATTTTAAAATATTTGAGAAAAAAATATTTTCCAAATTTTCAATCATGAACACGAGCGTATCGAAACTTTTACAAAAAAAGCTGCCACGTAGCACAAATGCCCAGTTAAAAAAAAAAGTGGGAAAGGGTAGAAAAGAGGAATAGAAATGACATTCAGACGTCTCAGCTTCGATATGAGAAAAGTGTGCATTAAAAACTGAATTTGTTGTAAATTTTGTGCATACGCGCGTGCTGGAAGGTTAAAATAAGTGTGTGCTCTTAGTTATCCCACATGTCCTTCAGATTTGTCACCTTGTATTTGTTTTCCTTTCCCTAAAACTAAAGATGCCTCTAAAAGGATTAATGAAATAAAAAAAAAAAAAATACAACAGCAACTCTCACAGGCATGTCAAAAACAGTCCTCTATAAACCTTCTCTTTCATTACCTGTCGTAGTTGCATTATGGGAGAAAGTTGTATCAGTGTTAAGCTCCTGTTTTTTAATATACTATGATCACTTAATTGTCATACACTGAATATATACTAAAACTCAATTACCTGAGCTTTAGTAAGTCAGAATTTTTGACAAAATAGTTGTCAAAACTAAAAATTCAAATGTAAATCACAGTGAATATCAAAAGATGCATTTGAAAAATCCAACTAACTCAAGGTCGTGTTTTCGGTACTTCTTTTTTGGA